CTTTAAGTATTTTTATTAATGTTTTCCAACAGCCTGTCCCTCTTCTATGACAGAAGTCTTTCAACTCTATAACACTATTGAAATCCATATAATTCAAGTTTTCCCTAGTTTTTTTCCTAGAAAAGTATGAAGCCTTTCTTGAGAAGCTTCCTAATTTGGGCTAATAGTGATTCTTTACTATTATATATGTGTGTGTATGTATATCTATCTATCTGTATACACATAACTTCCTAAATATGAAAAGTATATCTATCTATTACATATGTATACAGATAGCTATACAAATATACGTGTGTGTGTGTGTGTGTGTATGTATGTATGTATAAAATTTCCCCATATCTACCTTCAGGTGATAACTTTGCTTTCCTGCTTCATTCGGGGGACCTATCCCTCCTCTCATGTTCAGGTGAGGTATCTTTGTATAACTCAGGGGTTTGTATGACTCCATATAGGAGGAGAACTAAACTTACCCTTATGGCCTTTTCTATGAGGTAAGTGATCATTCTTCCATGGATACAGAAACCTTAAGTTTGGACCATTTCCCAAATGCCACAATCTGTAGAGAGAATCAGCATCATTAGAGAAGGGAAAGGGAAGGAAATAACCACCTAGGAAGAGATAGAGAAATTCTATTTAAAATAACTGCTGACAGTACAAAATACTTGGGAGTCTGTCTGCTACCACACACTCAGGAATCATATTAAACCCAATTACAAAACATTTCACACAAATAAAGTCAGATCTAAACAATTGGAGAAATACCAATTACTCATGAGTAGACTGAGCCAACATATTAAAATTTACAGTCCTCCCTAAATTAATTTACTTATTCAGTTCCATGCCAATCAAATTACCAAATAATTATTTTATGGAGTTAGAAAAAGTAATAAGAGAATTAATCTAGAGGAGCAAAAGGTCAAGACTATCAAGGGAATCAATGAAAAAAAATGAAGGAAAGGGGCCAAGCAATACCAAATCTCAAACTATACTACAAAGCAGTAGTCATCAAAACAATTTGGTATTGGATAAGAAAAAAGAGTGGTTGAGAGTGGAGTACATTAGGTACACATTATATAGAAGTATATGACCACAGCAATCTATTATTTGATAACCCAAAGATACCAGCTTTGGGGGGCAAAAGCTTACTATTTGACAAAAACTGTTGGGAAAACTGGAAAGCAATCTGGCAGGAACTAGGCATAAATGAATATCTCATGCCAAGATAAGGTCAAAATGGGTCCATGATTTAGACATCAAGGGTGGTATCATAACCAAATTAGGGGAGCATGAATAAAATTACCTGTTGGATCTATGGATAAAGTTTTCTGCTATATTTATGATCAAACCTAGAGAGAATAACAGGAAGTAAAATGCATAATTTTGATTCCCTTAAATTAAAAAAAATTTTTTGTGCAAACAAAACCAGTGCAGCCAAGATTAGAAAGAAAGCAGGAGAAACTTGGTGTAAAATGTTTTTTTCCTCCCAAATTCAATAAGATACAAAACTAGAATGAAAAGAAAATTCAATATATAGTAATTCTCAAAATTGGTTGACATTATAATAAATTCATTTCTAGTGTCAAGTTGTAAAAATGCATTAGCAACATTAAAATGCAAATAAGGAACAGAAAATTCAAAATCAAAATTGATCCTTTAATATTGCAGTTGCTAAATTCTGTGTAATCTTGATTGTGGCTCCCTAATATTTGAATAGTTTCTTTCTGGCTGTTTGCAATATTTTCTCCTTGACCTGGTCGTTCTGGAATTTGGTTGTAATGTTCCTTGGAGTTTTCATTTTAGGATCTCTTTCCGGGAGTGAACAGTATATTCTTTCAATGCCCTTTTTGCCCTCTGGTTCTAGGATATCAGGGCAATTTTGTTTGGTAATTTTTTGAAGTATCATGTCTCAGCCCTTCTTTTGCTTATGGCTTTCAGGTAGTCCAATGATTCTAAAATTATCTCTCTTGAATCTATTTTCTAGGTCAGTTGTTTTTCAAATGAGGTAGTTTACATTTTCTTCTATTTTTCATTCTTTTGATTTTGTTTGGTTGATTTTTGATGTCTCCTAGAATCACTAGCTTTCACTTGCCCAATTCTGATTTTTAAGGAATTCTTTTCCTCAGTTAGATTTTGTACCTCCTTTTGCATTTGGCCAATTCTACTTTTTAAGGAGTTGTTTTCTTTTTCTAAGCTGTTGACTCTTTTTTTCATGATTCTCTTGCATCACTCTCATTTTTTCTCCCAATTTTTCTTCTACCTATCTTATTTGATTTTTAAATTCCTTTTTGAACTTCTCCCATGAGTTCTTTCTGGGCTTGAGACCAATTCCCATTTTTCTTTGGGGCTTTGCCATAGGTGTTTTGACACCGTTGTCCTCTTCTGAGTTTATGCCTTGATCTTTGTCAGATTCTTTTTTGTTGGTTTTTTTTTTCTCATCTTTTCCAGCCTTTTCCGCTACTCTTAAATTTGGGCTGTGCTCCTGGAATGGAAGGGGTATTGTCCCAAGCTGCTTGTGCCTGGGGCTCTAGGCCCTGGCTGTTTGCTTGGTGCTGCATTGGTGTTGCCCTGAAGCCCACAGGGGACCCTTGGGTCTAGTGCTGCGCTCAGGGGGTGAGTAAGGGAGAGGGGCTAGCAGTAGGGGTCTGGCAGGTTACCTGATGCTGTGTCGAGGCACGTGGGGGTTTCTTGCACTGGCATTTGCCTGTGTGCTGAGGCACCATGGGGGATCCCAGTGCTGGCATCTGTTCATTTGCCAGGCTATGCTGAGGTATGTGGGGGGTCCTGGCACTGGCACCTGCCTGCTTGTGCTGTATTGGGGCTCAGGACCTCCTGATAGCTTGCTGAGGCAGGGCCTGCTGCTGCCTTGCCAGGACATCTCCTGTCCTGGACTGCACTCCCCTTTTATCTGAGTGAGACAGAGCTTTCCTGCCAACCTTCCTAGTTTCTTGGGCTAAAAGATTGTTTTACCCCATCTTTTTGATGGTTCTGCCTTTCAAGAATTTGTTTTGGGGCACTGTTTTACAGTTGTTTGGAGGTGAATGTGGGAAAGTTAAGGCAATTTCCTGCTTGCTCCACCATCTTGGCTCTTGGAGGTCTTGGGAGGTGACTTCTTACTTATAATATTAGGTGTTGCTGTATCCTTGTCCCTCACAATCAGAAGGAGGGGTGGGGTTGATATCCTTACAAATATTAATGTGTTCACTTACTGTATTGGCTTAGAGGAGGCCCTTTCCCCTCACTCTCTACATTTCTTTCAAAGCTGCCCTCTGATTCTGAACATCTTGATTTTGGTTAAAGACATACCTGCACAATACTGGGAACAACTTTTTATCTGAAGTGATCAGTCATACAAAATACCATTTGCAACATGGAGGAAGTAGTATAACAGGTAAATAGGATACTTTAGGCTTAAGTCTCATCCCTTTGGATGGTTAATAGAACCAAGAGAGACAATCTGAGGAGACAAAAAAATGCCTCAGCTGCATGAGCTGAGAATTGAGAGGGGAGAGGAAACACATTACTGTGCTTATCTCAGAGACCAAGGGAGACCTTTAAGTACAGAAACCAAACTGGCATAGGAGGGAGGCATAGGGTCTGGTGGGGAAAGTCAGAGAGCATTTTTATAAGTCAGATGTTGTTCCATCTGCCTGTGGTGCATTCCAGGGGAACCTGGGCTCTGTATGTTCTTATTCAGTGCCACACCTCAGTTCTGCTTTCCCTCCATCTCTGTGCGCATTCTCTCTTTCTCCCTATGTGGCTCCTTGCACTCTGTCTGTTCAGGCTCTGTGAACTTGTCATTTCTTAAGTTGGGGTTCATATTACATGAGCAGTCTGTTGAGATCTCAGATTATTTTTTTTAGAATCTTCATGGGAAAGCAGAAGTTGTTCCCCTTTCCAAAAGGCTATTATAATTATATTTCAAGTCCTGGTCCAGAAATCCAAATTTCATTCTCAGATAATATCTTAGCCACATAATCGCTTTCAGTATTGGCCTTTTACATATGAACCTCATATCTTCAATCAGTAGTAGTGATGCAAAGATTAGTGAAACATGAATTTACCAGTAAATAGGGATCTTAGCTTCCTCAGAAATGCTAAGACCAGTAAGTGAGACAAGCTAGCCTTATTTATGGTTTTTCTGGGAAGCATAGAACAAAGAATAGGACTTCATAGGTGGGAAACAAGTTATGATTGGTTACAAAGCCTAAAGAAAACAATGGAATTGGTAGCATGATACATGTAGGAGACAAAATATTTGGCTGGAAATCAGGAAAGTGGGGCTAAGTAACAACCCCCTTCTTATTGTTAAGGAATGCCAATTGATTTATGAAGCCCGTATGCATCCTGCAGGGTTTACTAGTGGAACAGAGATAACAGATTTCCTAGTGCCCACCTGCATCTTGTAAGGCTAGTTAGCAAGATAACAGATCTCCCTTAATTGTGCATAGGTATTCAAGGATCATTAGTAAGAAAACAGGTCTGCCTTAATTGTGCATGGGTAATAAGATGTGTAGAGATAAATGATTTATGGGACAGCTTAGCTCAGAGAAGAAGGCTGAACCTCTGACCCTATGAAATTCTTAACTCAGAGAAAAAGAAAGGGACTTAAGTAGTTATACAAAGTACAGAATAAAATCAACTACAAATAGAATTAATTACAAAAATAGAATTGATTAAGAAATGGGATCAATTTGATTTTCTTAGAACTATATACAGTAAATGTTGGCTACGATGATGATGATGATAATGCACTTTTCCCACTTAGAAAGCCAGCTTCATTCTTCCTGACAACCTGGAGAATTGAAATTCCTTCCTCAAGCCCCACCATTTTCTTCCCATACCACTACTAAGTATCAGAGGCAGGATTAAATTCAGGCTCATCATGTCTCTGTGTCCAGTTTTTTTTCCAGTATACCATATTGCATAAATGTCAACTATTATTATTATTGTACCAAAAAAGGTAATTTTGGGGTCTATTAATTTGACTTTATTTCTTTCAGATGGTTTACCAGAAGATTAAGATGATACATGTTTTCATTATTATTCTTGTGGTTTCTTGCTTATGTTTGATCATATCTAAGATGAATTCAACAGAAATCTGCATTTTTTGCATAAGAAAAGAAGGCCCAATATTTTTCAAGAAATATGGTGGGAACTTTCTTCAGCTCCCAGATATAGACTGCAGAAAGAATCCTCCATTTTTGGTTGTGATGGTGACTTCATCCCACAATCAGATTAAAGCACGGATGGCTATCCGTGAGACCTGGGGAAAAGAAAGAATTGTACAAGGTAAACGAATAATAACATACTTTCTGCTAGGAATCACAAATTCAAAGGACGATAATGTGGTGACACAAGAAAGCCAGAAATACAGAGATATTATCCAGAAAGACTTTTTAGATGTATATTTCAATTTGACTCTTAAAACAATGATGGGCATAGAATGGGTTCACCATTTTTGTCCTCAATCTGACTTTGTGATGAAGACTGATTCTGACATGTTTGTAAATGTCTACTATCTAACTGATCTCCTTATAAGGAAAAACAGAACAACTAGGTTTTTTACTGGTTTTTTAAAGACGAATGAATTTCCAATTAGGAAAATATTTAATAAGTGGTATGTAAGTTACTATGAATACCCATGGGAAAAATATCCACCTTTTTGTTCTGGAACGGGTTATGTTTTTTCTAGTGACATTGCAAGTGAGGTTTATAATGTTTCAGAAAAAGTTCCGTTTATTAAACTGGAGGATGTTTTCATGGGACTCTGCCTTGCAGAACTAAAAATTCATCTAGAAGAACTACACTCAGAACAGACTTTTTTCCCAGATGGGCTTAAGTTTTCTACCTGTCGCTTTAAGAAAATTGTGACCTGCCATTTTGTCAAGCCAAAAAATCTGCTGATATATTGGAAAGCTTTGGAGAGGTCCTTAGATGAAAAGTGTCCAGCTGTTTGAAATGATAATAGTGACATACCAGGACAAATATTAGACACTCTGCAGTGACATTTTGGCAGGAGAAGCAGGTTTTTGAATGGCATTGTTGAGAGTCACAACATGTCAGCATTAAGGAGGAAGAGGAAGACAGAGTCATGTTCCTCAGTGTTCTGAACACAAGACTAAAATTTAAGAACCTAAATGGTAATCCTGAAATGATTTGTCCATTCCAATTTTGAGCCTCCTCAAAATGAAAATGACCAAGTAACAGTTCATTCTCCCCACCTCCAGTCCATCCTAGCATCCCTTGATGTTTATGCGATATCTAATTAACAAAGACATCACCAATACACATGTCCCCAACTCCCTGGCTTCATTAAGAACTGACTAGACAAGCAAGGAAGCCTGCTGTTCTCTGCTTAGTATTCAGTGCTTCGTTGAGATGAATCACTATATTTCAATTCAAGTGTAGACAACATCCAGTTCTAAATTGGAACCAGCTCTTTTTTGGACCTTATATTCAAAGCCCTAAATGATAAAATACTGAGTATGTAGACCATTCTGTTGCACTACTGACTTTCATTAGAGCTTGAGTTTGTCTCTGAGCTATTCTGCCATTGAAATTCAATCCTATATGTCACTGATTGTTCATTTAGCACCAAAGAACCACTGTTGGGAATACAAGGGCTCAGGTACTCATCCTTCCCTATATCCAGCAGTGTGAACCAGTTTAGGGGTGGAGCTTTCCTCTAAGTAAGAGGGTCAGAATCCCCATTGTCACACTCAATTGCTTGCTAAAAGCTTTCACCCTATCATCTGGGTGATGATACTAATTTTAGTAAAAGTCTTGAGTTATGTTTGGGTCTTTTCATTCAGGGATAGGGCAGATAGTTTTTTCTACATGGTGAGGGATGCTAAGCATAAAATTAATGCATGCATTAACAGAATGATTAGACAGAATTTAGTAACTTAACTAAGAAGTATTGGTATATTCATATGGGAGGCCAATATTATGACATACCAGAACATAAAGCAATAGCACAGTTCTGATAATTTTACCTCGGTCCATCCCTTGCCATGAGCTACTGCTGCCCTGGGGACACTGAAGCTCCTTTTGCTTCTCAAGACCTTTGGATCTTTTGAAAGTTACAAAGTTCCAGCCTGGACATAGTCATCATGGGATAGTCCTTCATCTAAGACGAGGAAGAAATAAATGCAAAGGAATATGTTGTACTCGTGGTTGCAAGGAGGCTAGGTGGGAGATAGGACTCCTGGCTCTTAGGATGCAGCTCTAAATACTCTTCACACTTCATAGCTAGAAAGAAAGAGGAAATCAAAGGTCCAAGTAGCTTGCTTTTTTCTATCCCAAGTCATTGGTTCTCCTGGCTTAGGGGCCAATTTAGGAGATTATAATCATGTAGTGCAAACTTTGCATGATATGAAGTATGCCCCACTTAAATTTCTATGTGGTGAGCTGGAGCCAGGCAGAGAACACCCGCTGTGTATGCTCCAAGGAATGGCTTCTTTTGGCCAGTTTACCCATGTTATATTTAGGTAGAATGAGATGAGCTACAGTATTTCTAAAATTTTCACACTTAAAGGAACGTAGGGTAAAAATATTAGGGTATAAGCATATTCATTGCAGGATTCTTAATGCATGAGTTAAGGTTTTGCAAAGTTAATATTCCTTTATTGAACATCTACTATGTGCCAACCACTAAAGAGTTTTAGAGACTCAGCTTTTGGGGCTGGTCTAGCCAGATAGTTAAGAAACTCTTGAACCTTGAGTTTTTGAGTTTCTCTGTCGTTTTTTCTGAATGGAGGCCTGAATGTACCCTTTTCTCAGGGATATAGTGAAAAAGAGGTAACTTTTTTGCAAAGGGCCCCAAGCTTTTTGGAAATATGCCTTATATAATGCAAATTAGTAGTTTGTTGTTATTACTTATTATTATTTCACCAGACTTTAATGGGTAATTATGATAAAGCATCTCAAGTGTAGAGTACTAAATAGTTCTGTTCCAATGAATATGTCTGAAATGAAATGAAAAGTCTTTTTTCTGAACTTGAGATGCTCTTATATTTGATGCAAAATAGTTATGACAGTTACGATGAAAGTTTCAAGAGTTCCATTTTACAAAGCTAATCTATTCTTTTGAATAGACTTTTTAAACTTTATTTCTTTGTTTTGAAATGCAGTGTGCATTTTATTCAATTAAATAAATGTTTATTGTGTCTATTATGTGGAAGGCATTACATTTGAGGAGTTTACAGTAAAATGCGGGGGGGGGGGGAGAAATAAGCCATGAACACAGATAATTATAATAGAAGATAGAATACAATGTATGAGAAAGGAGAGGTCAACACAAATTTCAAAGAGAAATTCGAGGAGGTAGAGATCACTTTTGACTGGGTGGTGGGCAGAGAAATCTTCATGTTGGAAATAGCCTTGAAATATGAGAAATATTTCAAAGCTGAGTAACGAGTCTATGAGGTATAACTTCTTATGCGGGACAACTTGCATAAATATGTAAACATGGTAAAGAAATAATTCAGCTTTTCTGGAGTGTACCATCAAATCCATGAAATCAGAGAAGAGTCCAATTTGGACAAAGTTGGCAGAATAACTTCTTACTATGTCACAGGTCTGAATGTCTAGGATTCTATTCTATTCATTTTTGACTAGTATCCATAATTAAGCCAGCTCTCTATTTCACTGAGTGTGAAATATGGTATAAATACACCATGAATCATCGTTAGTAGAATATGCATTCTCAGTGGTAGAGATTGGTTTTCACTGATTCATCCATGTTCTTGGATGGACTTCTGGCCCCAACTCCAGATATAATAGTTCCTGCTTCATAACTAATTTTCTGGATCCCTTAGAGCACACAACCACCAACCCAGGCTCATGCTTGTCAGAGAATAAGTCCCAATCTCCTACTTCCTGGTTAGACCTGCCATGACCATGGCCTGGATTTTCTAAGCTTTCATAAGCCCCAGAGTGACACTTCTGGCTTCTACTTCTGCTTACCACTAGGCAGGACCCTGGGACAAAGTACCTCCCACTTGTGCTTATGCTCCTAGGACACAGCAATACTACTACCTGCCAGGAGACCAGTCAGTTACATTCTATGCCTAGACCTTGAGGGATTTCCTTGAATATTCTAGTCATATTTAAAAAATCATATATTTAGGAGAAAAGTAATAATTTTCATATGTTCAAAATAAGTCACAATATGACCACTTTAGTTAATTCATACATATTTAAATTAAGACCCATTCTCCAATAAGTGAGTGGTCAAAGCACAAAAGAAGAAATTTGTTCTTCAAAAGAATACAAACACTAACTACCTGAAAAAGTTACAAATTATGAATAATTGGGCAAATACAAATTAAAGTACCCTTGACTCATTGAATTATGCAAGGAAAGTTACTTAATTGGTCATACCCCTTGACTCATTTTTGAGACTATATCTCAAGAAGTTTATTGACTATAAGGAAAGACATATGTAAAAAACAAAAAAACTTCATAACATCATTATTTGTATAAAGCATCAAGATCTGACCCTACATCAGAATAAAAAGTAGAAATGGGAGATGCTTTCCTAGGAGTCCATTGGTTGCTGAGGTTATAGGGGTGGGGGGGGATGGAGAGAAATGGAGAAGAGGGATGGTACTTGGGTTGGTTCTCCAAGAATTCAGTAGAAGAAAGAAGAAGTTGTGACTCAGGTGTGGAAGTTCATGTCACCTCCATCTTGAGACCTTGTGGACTTTTGTACAGGCAAGCAGCTCGCTCAGTATACTCAGTGTATACCTGTAGCAATTCCCCTTTCCCTCTTTGATTTCTTATTTATTCCTTCCCCCACTGCTTAGTGTTATATAAAATATATTAGCATTTCCTTGTGTATTGTTATTTGAGCTATAAAACTTGAACTAAAAATATAAAAATTGTCTGAAAAAATGTACCATCCAGATTTATCACCCAATTCAGATTGTGATAGTTGTTATCTATTACTCCCTTCTCCCCCAATTCTTCCTCCTTTCTCATTTAGTTCAGTGCCAATGTCACAGTCTTCCTCTCTGCTCCCAATTCCTAGCTATCTAGCTTTATATCTCTTTTCCTCTTGTCAGCTAAAACTCCTTGAGAAAGCTAGTTATCCTAGGTGCCTTCACTTCCTCTCTTCTCACTCACTATAAATCATTAGCATTGTAGTTTCAGACCTCATCATTCAGCTGAAATACCTCTTTCGAAAATTACCAGAGATCTTTTGATTGTAAATCTAAAGAACTTTTCTCAATTCTCATTCTTACTGATCTCTCTGTAGCCTTTGACATGGCTGCTCTCCCCATTCTCCTAGATGTTCTCTGCTCTTTAGATTTTTGTGACACTGCTCTTTTTATTTTTGGCCAGTTCTCAGGCACCTTTGCTAAATCTTCATTCAGCTCATAGTCACTAACAGTGAGTGTCCTCCAAGACTCTGTACTGATACCTCTTCTATTCTCCCTGTAGACCAGGGGTTATTGACTTGTGGTATACTTGAAAGATCAAAATTCAAAGGGTCCATGAACTTGGATGAGAAATGTATATATATATATATATATATATATATTTAAAAACATTATTCTGAGAAGGAGTCAATAGAGTACAACAACTTGAAATGCAGTTCACAACACAAAAAAGAACCCTTTGATTCCAAGATCTGTAAATCCAGCCCTAATATGTAAAAGTGATCATTGAACCCATGGGAACTGATGAGATCATTTTCTGAGATAGTCCAGAGCAAGAGTTCTTAACCTTTTTGTGTCATGAATTCCTTTTTCAGTTTTGTAAAGCCTATGGACCCCTCTTAAAGTAATGTTTTTAAATGCTTAAAATACATATGATTACAAAGGAAGCTAATTATTTTGAAATAAAGATGTTAACACTCCCTCCATCCAAGTTTATGTACTATATATCTAGCCTTAGTATTTATGCTGAGCTCTAAACTGGAAACACCAGATTAGTCTTTTGGATATCTTGA